ACTTTAACAAAAGTTACTCTGATTTCATGTTCCTCAACTTTAAAATTAAATATACAATTGTTCAATCAGTGTTCAAAATGTGTGCGACGATAAGTTCTGTAACTACTATAATTAGTTACTTATTAATTGACACACGTCATCACTTGTCTCGCCTATCTGTACCCTAGTACATCTGTCTTGTATATTATTGTATACAACATCCTCATAACGTAGGCAGGTATGTAATAAAGGTAATTTCAGGAAGTGTCTGTTTAAAGTAAAGTGTAGTTACTCGTAGGCGTACCTGTCTCCTGTCAGCTCTGATTGAGTCAACGCGTCCTCGGGAGCTGTCCTCCAACGATCACTGACACACTTAGATATTTCATTTATTACTCCGCTTCTAATGAACTGATTGCTTGCAACAATCTGTTCAAATTACATCAAACATTTCTCGAGCTACATCTCTCGTTTTCTGAAGAAAAAAATAAACTCAATATGACTAAAGAGTCACATTTAAATATATTTTAAATATAAATATTTCATTTTTATACACACTTATAGGTTTGTGTCGTAAGCCATATCAAAGATTTAATCTAATCCGTGACCTCTTATTACCTCGCTGACAAGCTATAAATTATCGCGCGGGTCGCCGGCGTGTATTTAATGTAACGCATTAACAACTAGACTCGGACTGGTGATGAAAAGGTTTGAAACCTTGGAAATAGTTAAACCAATTAAAAAGATTTATTGACTATGTTTATATTTAAAGCGATACAAAAGCCAAGGAAACCTTAAAGTTAACCACATGAAGCCATGCGATCACTGGACACGAATTAACGAACAAAAAGTCCGCGAAATGGCTTTAAGAATGTCTGTAATATATAATATGTACTATTGGTGATATTAGTTGAACACAGTTCTAAGTCTCTCCATCATACATCAAGTGCCTCTGTCTCTCTGCCAGTAGTCTGTCCGAGGTCTCGTGTCTCAATTAGTCTATGTACCGTTGCCTGTGTCACACTACGGCCGCTGTCTGATGCATTCGATGCTCTGCACTAAACGATCCAATAGGTGACACACCTCCATTAAAACGTTAACAGTTCTCTGTCATAGGTACCTCTTTTATGTATTGCTTAATAGAACTGATAAAATTAACGCACTGAGTATTATGTCTCCACTCAGACAGCGTGGTTTAAATGTTACATAGTCTGATAACTCATACTCGTAATATTCAATGTCCTGAATTTTATTACTTAAATTATAAGTTCGAATTAGGTATGTATTTTATTATTTAGTTAATATTTTAAACCGACTCGCCAGCACGAGGCTAGAGTTATTTCTCTGAATTCCGCCTTAACTAACGTTCAGCACCGCAAATAGTTTTCAAAGCTTTCGCGCTTTTATTCGAGGCTATATCGCACGTCTTAATAAGCTCGACCTGAATAGAGGAGCTCGGATTTGCAAAGCTCATTTAATATCTGCTTGCTCGTATAAGCGTCGTAATTAAACAGCGATGAGCTTCATACAAAACGAGCCCTTTGTTCCTTCATAACTTTAAAATTAGGTGTGAGGAGGGAGCGTTACATTCTTTGACTTACAACCGCCCATTGGATCTCATTAAGTGGAGATGAATTTGATCTACTTTAATGATATATTTATATATAACTGAGATATCTCTGTACAATGTAACTTTTATATCACTAAAAAGTAAGGTTTCTTCGGAAAGTCTGCAATCTATGTATATATAAAGTTTATAGTTGAAGACTTTCCTTGGTACATTATATAACGTCAGTGTGCAGAGATCGTCAGCAGTCAATTAGAATGATTACAGCCGCCGCAGCCTTCCGCAGACAATCACATCAACGCCTCTCCTGGCTGTGACTCTGATCTGAATCCTAATGCACCACCCACAGACACACACACCTATATATACAATATATTAATATAGAATTGAAATTATCATCGACGATATTATTAGATATTTTTAACGAAGACGTGGTGTCAGTTTATTTCAGCTTTTAGGAACTGTAGATATAAATCAATTTAATAATAATATTTTATACATAAACTTAAATCAATTTGGTTTTAACTTTCAATAATAATTCAGAGAAATTTTGATTTAAGAAACATAGATAGAACTTAACAACCTGATTACTGATATAATACTTTTGATTTATGTAGTTTAATATATTATTATGTTGTTAGTTCCTGTAACAATATAACTCGCCAGCTCTGTGTCGTGTAGGTCTGTGTCGACGCTATCAGTGCCAATTAACCTCATCGTGCGCGTTAAATGCATTACCTGTCACATGTACTTTGAAACATACATGTGTACATGTACTGCCATAGAGTTATGTCATTGTTCAAACGGCTGTCTGTATTATGTCGCCTCCTGATTAAACTTGAAGACCTAACAAAACATAAGTTATTGACTCATTCAAGATAACATAATTTTCACTAAAGTAAGAAAGTCTTCCTACTTAGTTTCCGAGTAGGTATTAAAACTTATGTAATTGTTGCAGTAAATATTAATAAATACAAAAGCCGGTACAACAATAATAACAGAGCGTTGCAATTGATTTGTCATGTTAAACATTGCCCTCGCCGTCAACAATGCTTCACTGAATAACGGATCCACACAGAGAATTCTAAATACACGGTAATTGGGTGGTAACTGGTTAAATATTACCCGCCTGTGTCGGGTTTGAACTATTTGATAATGAACTCACCTAGACTCGACAGTCTATTAAAAAAACTATTGAAGTCATTTGAATAACATCATAACTATAGAAATATTTTTGCTAACGAAACAAAATTTTGAAATCACCATTTCCTCAACAGTTTTATAAATTATAAAGCAGAATCTTTTTATGGTCTCTGTACTCTACTTAAACACGTGCTGTTGTGAGTTTTTTTTACTACCGAGACTGCTAGACTCAACGCCGCCGCGGCATCACCCAGGGAAAATTAACCAACTGCTACTATATATTGCGGACTATAACGAATAGGCGTAGTGATTTTTTGGTCAAATTCTTTATTGAATGTATTGAAAGCAGAGTTCAATTACATGTGTGAGTACAGCGAGCACGTTCAGTACAAACACTAAACGTAATTAGTGCACGTTTCGTTATTCGTTGTCACGAGTCCCTCATTACCGTTAGTCATCAATGACAATATGATGTTCAGACAATACACTGTTACCGCAGGCGACTATAAACATTGTATTGGAAATATCACCAACTTCAATACCTCTCAAAGTCTACATACATTTCTTAAGATACCTTTTAAAACAAATCAAAAGTTTAATTTTATTCAGATATGTTTAAATATAATTTATAAGATCTCATTTCATCTATAATTCCGTTTTTATTCCCATATAAATATATATATTTTAATAATCGTGTAATTTGTCAACAAACCTCATACATGACGAATGGCCGCGATCCATAAGCCATTGATTTCAATCACAGATGCATAAATTCACACAACAATCGAATGATTCAAATATGACCAATTTAATTTGATGCGAGGAATAAATGTGCTCATTTACAACAATGAATTTATGAACGGTTGGAGCACGAGGAATGATGCATAGTGTTATAAGTGTAATACATTCAGAAACAACACTTCCACCTTCAATTATGATTCACATTAGAGACTATAAAATTTACATTATTGCTTTTATGAAATATTATCGTGTTTATAGAATCACTGTGAGAGGTAAGATGTTTTATTAATGCCGGGTATAAATATTGTAGAATATTGAATATAAAGAAGACATATAAAAACTTGTGTGATATTTTCTCGCATTAGACATTCCACACGAGGTCGGCCTCTGCCGAAATCAGTAAAAGAGTTGCGTTTTGAGGGGATCGTTTAAAATTCAAAGATCAGACGCGCACAATCCTGAAAGGAACATTTCTTTTATAGGGGTCACTTTGGTAAATAACGCTATCTGACGCCTGGTATGCGACGCACGTACGACACACGGACGGGGGCGCTAAGCAGACTCTATTTCAATATTTCCCTTCTTCCGATGCCAGGACGACTCTCGTTAGATAAAATGTTTAACTTAACAATTTACGTCTTCTATGAAATAAATGTATTTTAATATGATATCCAAAGTCATTACATCGGGTTGCACTTGAGATGAAATATGTTTTTGTATATTCAAAGTGTAGGTAATAAAACCATCTCAACGGAGCTTTATGGCATAAATAATACAGTGTAAACTCTATATAACGACACTGAAGGGACCGTGCATTTTAGTGCGTTATAGAGAGTTGCCGTTAAATAGAGGGAAGAAAAATCAGAATTAGAAAAAGACAAAGTTTGTTTCAGACTACTGTTAGTACTTATGTACATAAAAAAGAATGTTATAAAGTCTGTTGTTTTTGTTTGACGTGTTTTTCTGCACCAGTAATGTTGTTGTATTTTTTACGTATTTTATTCATATCTTGCGATATTGAGGCATATTGGTGAAGAACGAATTTCTTAGAAAGTTTGGTATGCATGATTACGACAATGGAGTTTATTGCGGGCTAGGATAACAAAGCGACAAAAAAACGTACACAGCTGCGCATTTTTTACTAATTTTAGCAACTTAAAGGGTACTTTTTATAACTTAATTTTGTCGTTATTGAGAGTGGCTGTGACGCTATATAGAGTGTATCATTGTATGGTAGACAAGCTAAACCAACCAAAGTCAAATGATTTCGACGCTTTAGAGAGTTTCGTTAAATCGAGTGTCGTTATATGGAGTTTACACTATATATAACTAATATTGTCTTCCTTCAAATCTTTTTATTATTTAAGGTGATAAAACAAAAAAAAACAGAATCCTTAGTGTGACAAATGTGACACGACAAACATTTGAACAATTCCATTCGGAGCCAATAATCTGCAGACTTCAAATAGATTAAAGTGCGATTACGCAATTGAGGTTTTGATTTCTTTGGTCGTAATTACAGGAAGTCGGGACCGACGGTCTTCATACAGATTACGTTTAAGGAATATCAAAAATGCATTACCGGATGCCAGGGAATACCAAAGAAACGAAAATGAAACACAATCCGCCGCTGGCTCATCTCATCTCCTTCCATTCGGATGCTGCACGCGTTTTGCGTCCCGCTAATATTTTAGACTTCTCCCTTAAACACAAGGGGTGGGGGATGCACTGCGCATCTCACTACAGTTGTTTCCAGGCGATGGCTTTATGCTTTTATTACTTTGTCTTTTTTATATTTAACATAAATGTTTCTCTCGGTCTAATTTAAAATCGTATCTGTTTTATTTTCCAACCGTACTCCATTACTCCCGTTGTTAAGCCTCGTGATTCCAAACATTACTGAAGCTTCTTAAGTCGCATTTTTAATGTAATCCCCAGCTTCTAGATTTAAGTGCAGTATCCTATCAGTATGTTGCGAGGCGGTCGAGGAGGGTCGGGAGGCGGTGCTAGTATCGACTCGCTGTTTACACAATCCAATCGCATACTGAACCGTACTCTACTGATTTCCAAATTCATGAACTTTAATGTTATTAAAGGTATTGATTCAATATCTGAGGTTTAAATTACATATAACATAAGTTGAGAAAGATACGGTGACCTACCGTTCCTTAGATGTAACAGAGTGTTTCTATTACACTTTATTATTACAGTAACAATTATTTGTTTATTCTTTTGAATATATTTTTTTAACAATTTCATTAAGAATCAATCGAATCAACTCTATTCCCTGTCTACTGTACAAGCAAACTGTTCGATATAAAACAGTTGATTCATACAAGGCGTGTGTTAGGTCGCAGCATCTCTTAGATTAGTTCACATAAAGTTCATAGTAAAGTAAGTCGGGAGTCAGGAGTCGGGTTCCTCGAGCAGCTCATTGGCTACGTGCGCTGTACTCTGTACTTAACTTAGCTTTGTTATAAAAGTTGATTTAAACAAAATTCCATTACAAACTTATGAAACTGCTTCAAGAATTTCATTAAAAATATTTATCTGTGTGTATAGGAATAATCGTATGTTACAAAGGGATTTAACTTATAATTTCCAATTGCATTTGTCTTATTCACTATCAAATATTTCAATACATTTTAATACCAACCAATATATAAGTTACGTGAGATTATTTTTCCCTCTCAGTATATTAATGTTTTAAATATAAAAGTGTTATCTTAATGGAATGTGTTCCAAGCGACAGGTGCTTCGATAATGTCTCAGATTGATCTTAAAAGTGATTCGTTACAATCACAGTATCAATGGGCTTGTTACAGCTCGCTCCCTAACTCAAACTAACAAATACATTACACACTAATCGAATAAAAAGATTATTATCATTAAATTACATCTCTGTTACAACATGACTTTTACTTTAAACATATGTAAAGGTTCCATTCATCTAGTCCCGCAAGTATGGTTACGATTTTGAATAGGCCCTTTAATTTGACTTCCTCTAGTATGACACTTACATGTATCAAACTCATAATATATTAAAAAACTGAATATTATTTTAACACTGATAGTAGTAGATCTTTTTGGAATATCCATGTTTACAAATTAATATAATTCAACGTATTCCATTCCCTCAGAGATAACTACAATATTTTAACAAAACGAAACTGAAAGTGAACTTATAATAAATGTAAATGTCACTGTTATGAGACGTGACACAGAATAACAAACACCACTCGCCCTGGAAATGTGTTCAGAGACTGACGTTATTTATATGGAATAACATGTATTTACAAATAAAAAATATTGAACAAAATTAACAGATATATGAATCAACAACTTAGATCAATATTAACATAATTCCCTATGTTTGTTAAACAAATACATTTATATTTTAGTTCACCCGTTAATTTAAATTATTTTACAAGATAGTATGTGAGACATCTCTAACAAGTCACTTTATAAACGACTTCACTTAATTTCAAGGATCACTAAATACATTATAACTCCTCTATTTATAGTCCGAGCATCTATTACAGTCGATTCTTCGTATCCCGCTAATGTGCAGTTAAGATTAAGAATATACTAAATTATAAAGACAGATGTTCAGTCTTAGACTATCATAATGAAGAATAAAGAGAACGCCTCGTCCGAATAGCTGGCGTACTACACACGACAATGGACATCGATCATTAGTTGTTTTATTTGTAACGTATATGTATATATAACACACACACACACACAGACACACACACACACACATCGAGACGGATAGAGAAAAATCAAATAAAAAATTTACATCACTTCCAAGTAATTATATGTGAAGTCAAATTTTCGCTGACAGGAAAGCGGACCGTTTATATGAGGAGGGAAATGTATAACAAGTTTGAGGAATTAAATGATCTCGCTTATTATAAACTTACTAAATCCATATTTGCGAGGCACGTTATAGGGATGTATTAAATCACTGTAAGTATTTAGTTTAAAATAAATATATTAATGTAAGCAGCAATGAATTACAGTCGTCGTAAGCTCTTAGAGATCTATTACTAAAAGTCACACCCCTTATATGAAAAGGGCGTTGCGTGGCTCAGATAACGTACTCGTAGAGCCGTTGAGTATAACTGAATGAAAGATAACATCTAGGACTGTTCGCCTGATGAGATGTGTATTTAAAAAAAATATAACAATAACTAACAATGGAAATAAAAATAACTATGAAGTAAATAAATTCTCAAAATTGTATAGCACTATGTGTGTGGTATGTATCTTACAAGCATCTCGGTGGTCTTTTCTTAACACGATCCATATTCTGAACAAGTGTTTCATTCTAACAAACTCTTAAAGCTACTCACTACTCTAATCTCCGGACCAATGACTGACTCCTATCTGACACCTGCCATGAGTAAATGTATATCAAAATAATATGGCCACTTGACAGCCCTAAACCATCATATGCATCTACACTATAACATCAAAATAAAACTTGTAGTTCTTTATATTATTCATTCTATGAAAGTACAATGACACAAAAGTTTCTTTTAACTTATAAATCATTAATCTGTTGTAATGAAGTGTCGGCCACGCGCGAGCGCAGATCGGCTCATATAACAACATGTAGTATGGCTCAGCGTTTGGAAGGAAGCCAACGTTTAAATGATCCCAAACCTATTAATATTATAATAGTATCGTTACGTTATTACTCTGGAATATCTTAAATTGTTAGAGGACGTGCTTTACTTGATGATTTATGAAGACAATTAGAAACAAATATTTTGAACTAAAACTTACCCACAAAATAATCATCCATTATATTATCCTATAAGTGGAATTGTTAATTTTTTGTTTTTTTTTTTATTTTAATAATATTATTTCATTATATATGTAACTTCAAAAAAAGATTTAAAATGTTTAAGATATTTCATAGTGAGTAATGTAAATTTTATATATATTTATGAAACAATGAAATAAATAAATTATAAATCGTGTAATGGTCTCCAAAGCAGACGGTCACAGACGCATTGCGACTCTGCAATGCGTGCAGAGAATCCTATATTAGGCGGTGCAGCGTTACACTATACAATGAACAACTTGGACCATCACATACAATAACATTACAGAGCTATAAAACAACATATTTATGACATTTTCTTGAGATAGTTTTTCCTGTCCAAGTTTTATTGAAGTCATCGAATACTCGAAACTTTAACTTCTATAGTTTATATTACCGGGAAGTAAGTTAGTGAGTGTTCCGAGACGAAGCCAATATGATAAAATAATTACGAAACGGAACTCTGTACAGTAATTTGACAATAGGACATCCGTGACCACCGACGGGGGGGTGCAGTGGAGGAGGGGGACGGGGAGGGAGGGGTGTAATGACGGGTCACGGCAGATCGGGGTAATAAATACAGATTAGTCGCACACTGTGTGGCCGTGATGGAACCAGTGTACACGGACTGTGATATAACAACATACAAACATATAGATATACTACGAGTATGTATGAACATTGTGAAGTTATAATATTGGTTATACTGACCAGACCATTATAAAATGAAAAATATTAGGAAATGTATAACTACCATGGAGCAAAACTGATATAGATTTAAAATATTTAATTAATAGAAACGATTGTATTACATTTGTATAAAGACTTCATTTCATAATATAGGCATTATAAATCTAAAATTCCTAGGAATTGCCAAAAATTCAAACATAAAAACTGAACTACATAAAGTGGGCACGAATTTAAGCCGACCGACTCTAAGGAAGTCAAAAGTTCAACGGCCATTATCGGAACATTTAACGAATACAATGTTTTAAAGTTTTGAGATATAAAATATTGTTATTGTGTGTCAAGTCTCGCTCGTGGCTCGAGTTTAAAGATTAGCCTGTAACAGTCACCACAATGGTTCAGGATACGATCTTAATGCGAAACAACTTTCATAGCTTCGTTATTTGATTTATTTAATAATTTTACAAACGTTTGTTGGCTCCAGTGTTCATATCTGTTGTCAACCATCAACATTGAAACAGACTTCTGAAACCATTTGTTTTAGTTCCTTAGTCACAAACACGGGAATGAATTGAATATGTTATTCAATATAGATTATTGTTGGACAAATAATTCTTGAAATCATTTTGCCTTTGGTCTATTAATATTGATTAATAATTAAGTTACGGCGTTTTTCTTATCGATCATTAAGTTTTCAAATCGCGATTTGAACTGAAAATGCAGTTATCATACGTGTGACGCCCTTACATTCTGATAAGGCTTTGTAAATTTCTATTTTACTTACTTACTTATCCTTCGACAGCATTTATACGTCACAGTATTAGTCTTTTCAGTTTATTACAAAGACACTTACAGAACACTATTCTTACGTCAATCTTCTGTCTTCAAGTCTTACAACATGTCAAGTCATATCCACTTTTGTTTCTGTACATTTGTAAATGGAAAACAAATTGTTGTTGACCTTATTTTAGTGTAGCTAATTCTTCTTTTCTTAAAAATATTTGTCACTTCGTGATTTGTTCATCATTACTCGTAGTTAAACAATTTTTAATAAGATTGTTACAAGAAAATATCACACCTATTTTTATTCTGAATGTTTGTATTCTCTTAGATATTTTGCATTTACTCTTAATACTTCGAGAGCTTTATATTGTTTTCTACTGTTCTTAATATTGCTCCATGAGAAAATCTAATGTACATATGTGAATTTATTTAAAGATACAGTCATTTCCTCGTTCATGATACTCATCAAGGATATTTGTGTTCTTCAATGGAATAAACAGAAGAGATAGTTTGAAGCGTACATCAAATATTTCCTTTTAATAAGGAAAACTAGTAGCACAATATTTCTGCTTCGTAATGTATAGCTTGTCACATCCTTAGTAGGGTTAGACTTTGATATGTTTTAAACTTTAAACTAAATTTAATATATTTGATGTGTCTGTAAGGGCAATTTCAGAAACTGGAAAACCTAAAAAATTTTTCTCGAACAGTCTTTGTCTTTCTGATATAAAACTTTTCCGCTCCTTTAGTTTATGTCAGAAGTGTTTGAACCAGTTTGTGTAACGTCTCTAAAGCTATGAGTTGTAAGATATCATTGTATGTATTACTCTAGAAGACAGTCTCTATGTGATGTTTATAAAACTATGTACTATATACTGACTTGGGTTTTATTTTTAAAATACGCGTTATGAGACATAAGAAAGTTTCGATATTTTATTTATTTTGATATCTTTCGTCACAGTATGGATATGTTGGAGTCTTATGTTAGCTTTGAGACCCTTATGTTGGAAGTGCTGTGCTGTATTTGTGCCTTTGGTTTCACTTACAACATTTTTTTTTGCCCAGGTTGTATTTCAATCTTCTAGAACTTGTTGGTTTCTACAATGACTGTTTACTTTGACTTAGTTATAGGTTCTGATTGATCTCATTATTCTGTTTAAAGTCACTCTTTATTTCATTAATTATTTTAAATTTTGACAAAATGTTGATTTAAATCTATTATTTGAGTTCTATATATACATTAACTCCACACCTCCTCGGGTATGATAGTCAACATTCCATTTTCTCGATGAAAGACATGCCGTGAATTCTTGACGGAATATTTTTTTATTATAACACAAAGCAAACATTTTTATTGGAAATACTTACTAGTAATTAAAAGAAAATTCCGTAATTAACAGCCACAGTTAACAAGTGAAAAGCGTATTGTAAAACCGAAATAGACTTACAAACAAAGTTATTTCATAGAACAACCAACGTTATCCAAATTTTCCGCTTCTTTAACCTCCAGGCTTATCATGAGTTGTATATTATTACATTTATATTCCCCTTACTGGCACAATTTGAGACACAAGTCATGTTTTTACAATTTAGCATAAAGCCTCACGTTTTCGCGACATAAGCTGTCGTTATCTGTCCGCCGCGGGCCGCCATTTTTCTGGCTCAGAGTGCGCGGGAAATATTGTCCTTCGGTTAGCGCATAGCACCCTTCGTTCATTAGCATACATTTACATTATAATCTGCGTTGTTTTGAAAATTTGAGCCGAATGTTATTTAGAGAGCACGAGGCCGGGCTCGTGAGAACACACTGCCACGGGTCGAATAGTTTTATTGACTTTCGCAACCCACTCTCCCTTTTGTGATTAATGCCTTTACGGTTTCTCTGGTTTTTGTTAATCCGACTTCAATTAAGTCGAATATTAAGAATTTATAATCGATACATTCTATGGATTATTTTGTAAATAAATTTGTGGTGAGAAGAGTTTCATGACTTAAGCATCAAAAACGCGTCTCTTTATATTAATCAAGATTAAAAATAAAATATAAAAGAAAATGATTTTTTTTGTAATAAGCTCGAGCCCTAAATGCAGCGCTACAACTGAGCTTTACAACTAAACTAATGAGATTAAAATACATTATTTTTAACATACATATACATATATCCAGATATCTTGTTATCTATCCACAAATGCTTCCAATTAGGAGCACTCATCAAACGTCACAAGTATAAAGTAGATCCGCAATCAAAGGCTGTCAGTCCGTCTGTCCGTTGAAAATGTGCGAGATTAGGAGCAGAGCAATTTGTCGATGTCGCACACTCCGACCAGCCGACCGACCAGCCGACCAGTCGACCCATCGCGACACGTTACAGACCTTGTTACTGAACTAGAATCAATCCAACACATATATCTCATACTAGTGAAGTTTTGGAGATTTAAATGTTCTCAAGCAGATTTCAAATGCTAATGTTATTTCCATTTACACCCATTTATTTCAACAATTTCTTTTCAATATAAATTATTTGTATAATAATTAAGACAACATAACTAACTATATTAGCTGTAACTGTATTTAATTCTAATATAAGTCATCGTCGAGTTACCAAAACGAGTCAGCCGGCCGGAAATTACACAATTTGATTAATTGAATCGTTACTTATTAGGGTCACCTTTCATTAAGATGCAATGTTATGTAAAAGTGGATTGATCGGTGTCCGTCGTCGGAGTCAAAGACTGATTGTGACTGAGATTAGGCAGCATCCAATTTGTTAGCGGCTTGACTCGACCAGCGAAGAATGATTCACAGTTTTATTATTATATTAATAAATGAGACTTGATTGCGATTGGGATGTCTTTATCGGTTTAAAATAGGACGTAACGATGATGTGTTTAGACGCTCGAAGAGAGATATAGTGCTGCTAATGTAATCGGCACGTTATACATAGAAAAGATATTAGTAGGAATGAACTGGAATTTATATATTGTAAGGTCATTGTTCACAAAACACAAGTGAGACACAATTAAGGGCTGTCAGGTGATCAGTGATGAGAGTGAGCTGACACAACTCGAGGATTACAGCGGCTCCTGTGATGGATGATGAGGGGAGACACGATTGGTCGAGCACTTCTCTTACCTGATAAAAACAGATTTATATTCGATAATCATGAGTTCTCTTTCAAAACATGAATTTTTCAGTAGAAATTGTTTGTTAATTTTATATACATTCCAAACATATGACATGAAAAAATAGAACAACTTTATTTTGTTTTAACATAGAACGGGCAAGACAGGCGATATATAGTAATCATAGCTAATAATGCATTAGATGTCATATGTGAATAATATGTATATGCAATGCAAAAGACTGTCATCTTGGGGAGGGGGGGTGAGTGGCAGGGGGGTGGGGGGAGGAGGAGATTCAAATGTCAAATATGTTAAGCACGAGATAGACGTAATGAGGCGGCTTGCGGTTCACGTGTATATGTATAAGGCAATACTAATGACGTACTATATACAGTATAGTGACGTGACGTATATAAACACATCTACATATATACACATACACATACATACATACGAGCATATGTGATCTCTAAACTGAATTTAAAGATCCTCAAACAGACACACAAACAATGACTAATGATAAGTTTTTGTATAATAGTTAGCGTCTCATATATGATGCGTCTCTTTAACTAACAACATAAATTATTTGAAGGAAGACAGATTCGTATCAAGGAAACGTTAATGGAATTGTCAGTAATCAAAATTTAGAAAATCATTAGCAAGTTTAGCGACGTATTTGCGGAGGGAATTAATCTCCGAGACTTTGGTAAGTGCGTTTGCGTTAAGCAAATTATATCGTAACTTGTACTGACGGCGACGAAACGTATTCCCGAGGAGACGACGACTATTAAATAACATATTACACAAACGGACAGGTTACATTTATATGTTATTTACTTAATATACTATTTGTACTTTTGACACAACTCTGATGTACATACTGTCCACAAATCATATATTTTTTTATATATTACATTTAGATTTTAAATCTAATCGTTTGACTCAGAGGAATTTATTATATTGTTGCTGCAATTTTATTTCATGAAAAGAATATCTAAAGAATATTTTCTTACTATTGTCACTTCGGAAATGTTAGTTTGAATACAATAAGCAATATAACTAACAACAATCAACACTCCAGTCATGTTGTATTCCTCACACAGAATTCTCTAGATCTAGGATTACTGAAAGTTATGAAGCAACGGAACTCGGCATTAGCTGGAGATTGTATTATCCCGAAATTAAATCAGCCGCAGTTCTGCTTAGAAGAGGATTACATGTATGCTTAATGTACCAGTGAATATGACTCGCTGAGATGAATTAATAAACTACGAGATCACGCTCACTACACTATGATTACAGACGCCCGCGCCGTTTGGTTCAGGATCATATGTGTACCTACTGACTATCAATTATTATAAGATACATTACTCTGTATTATCTTATCATTGTACTGTGACCTAAATTAACTTTACAAGCCATCTGAACAATTTGGTTAGAGTCTTTTATGTCAACCTGGAATCTATATCGTTTTAACTATAAAGGCAAATTTTTAATAGAATTGGTTTATCAGGCCAAGCGGATGAGAACTCTCCGCTTTATAAAAACCCTTTTGAAAGTGAAACAGTTCGAGTATCAACGATATAAAGTGTCTGTATGTAGGGCGCTGGCCGCGGCCGCTCTCGTCAGAAGATAACGATTATATATTTCGTTTTTCATATTAAAATACATTCCTAAGCTATATTAGAAATACACTGTTAAATACCTTCAACACAACAATGACGAATGCCTTAAACACGTGTTTGAATCACCAGTAAGAACATAACTCCATATATCTAGTCGTGTACACACAATACGACTTTATACAGCAGTCGGTAGCCGCCTCCAGCCGCGCTGATATCACGATACGTAAAAGGAAAAACAGGACATTGTCTAAGGAAATAATTCAGCATTAAAATAAGATCAAACGGTGACTTATCTCACAGATAACAGTCGTATATATGTGATTGTTATCATGCTCGCTCCGACCCGTGTGAGGCGGGGCGAGATACTACTTTAAGACGTCACTACACACCGACATAACTAATACTGTACCTCATATTAATATCTTTGATAGAATAGTCGGCACGGTGTCAGTGATGACTAACAATGGATAGGGTTCCATTTTAAAACAGAAATTAATTTATATAAAAATCTTTTGATTATCATGAATTCTATATAATATTTATATACAAAACATTAAGAGCTTCAATCGCCTCACGTGGACATATCACATTAATATCAAGAGACAAATTTGATTTGCAAGGAACAGTGCAGATTTTAAGAGTTTTAATTACGCATATAGGAATATTAAATATATTTTCGTTTCTTCATGTTTCTATTATTACAAAATAGTAATATTTTATCCAACAGGAAAATTGAAATTTCAAAATTAAATGCATGAGATTGAATAAAACAAGACATTGAATGAGAGACATCTATTCACTACTACTCTTCCGTGCATAGTGTTGTGTATATTTGTTAACTCTTAATAATATCGTAGAGAAAGAACTCGGTCACATTATATCACACTCGCACGATGGAGAGTGTCGTGAGTATTGACGGACCTTCACCCAACTCCTTCCGCGGGTATCAGAAAGTCAGGGAATTAAATAATTATATATAATTTTAGGTCCATTCAACGCATTCAATACAATTTCAACTTAATTTCTTAATTATATCCCATGAATTCAATGTATCTATCTGATACATTTTAGGAACAGAAATTTTAAACCAGACAAGCTTGGCATTTACTGTAGTATTATAATAATGAAGTGTAAGTCCAGTAAGACTGGTCATGTATGTATGTATGTTTTGTTGAGGCTGTGTTAAGTCCTCAAGTTAAGAACGCCGTTAATGGTACACTTAGTCTAAATTACACCCGTTCTATATTTAATTTGGCGTCTGCGGTGGGCGGATTGGACCACACTTGACGAATTAATGCAAGCCGGTAATGTTGTAGGCTGTAATTTATTTGAGCTATGCTTGTAATACATCATAGGAGAACGCAAACACACCGACCACACCGACCACTAATAACTAGTTTCCTACACATTATTCATATCTGACTTTACTGGATTAACTATTGAAAATTGGCGCGGATTGAACTTTTCAATTAGTGAATTGCGTGTACTTAATGTGCTTCATATATTATAGGACCTCTTATTTAATTTATAGATTAATAAACAGATTAGAATTCATACTAACTTTATGAAATAGTTTTTTGTTTATATAATAATTATGTTATGTTTCACCATGACGAATATTGTGGGTCTTCTATGGAAACTCAAAAAGTAGTTAATATTAAAACAGATAGGATATTTAAGAGGAGAAACTGTATGTTATTCTTAAATATCTTGTACTACTGTAATACATTCTTAGAGTTATGAACTGAAACTCAGGAGTCACAGTAACAAGACGTTACTTAAACTGTTATATGTAATTGTGTCAGATAAATAACACACACACACATAAGCACACACACACACACACGCACGCACATAAAAATACCCATATACCTGTTAATATCCTCTAGTTGCATGTTTTAACAATTATTTTCTTTACATCTACTCTCTTTTTGTTATAAACTTTGTTAAAAATATTATATTAAACACTTTACAATGTAATCTCTGTGGCCTTAGTTTTAATGAAGTTTTAAAAACTGTACAAATATAATCTGTATACGCTGGTGATTACAAATAAATAAAATAAAAAAATAAAATAAATAAACGTCCGTTTTGGGAAGGACAGTCAAGGTCCTGGCGTCGTTAAAGCATCTCTACAGCCATTAGCGTACATAATACTAGCATCAAATTGTATTTTACTTGTAAAAAGTAACGAATTCAAATGTTTTAAATCGTTCGCAAGATATCAAATACACCTTAACATTCCTTTACAATATAATGTCGGTAGGCGAGTGTGTGGGCTCCATACATAAGGGCCGATCAAACGCGCATACAAATTGACATATTAGAGACACGCAGCGCCGATTACAATCTTAATAGCTTTCTCAAATGAAGCGATATTGAAAATTTATCTTTGGAGGAGAATGTTTTGATTGTTTCCCAAACGCTCGGCCGGCATCGATTACTGCGGCCCTACACGTTACACACGCGTGGAGTATTTACGTTCATATATATACATATATATTGGTCCCGTATGTTGTATTTATAAAGACTATCCAATTATATATTAATTGTCATTGTTATTGCTTAAATAGTAAATGGTTCTCTCAAAAAATTATTCGACATTTTAAACACTTCAAAATTAATGAAACATTAGCATTTATTAATTCATGAAACTATTAATATATAATACATTTTAACAAACACATACACAAGATGAACTCTAGTTAACTGAGTTTATTACGTACTCAATCCTGTTATGACGAACCCCTTTTCGCCATAAATAAAAACGAAACAATTAATTAATAATTCTTGGAAGATTTCAGAAATGGAAAACATAACTGGAGCCCAGTAAAAATAAATTAATAAACTTTCTAATATGAATTATTATAATAAGTTTTATTTCAACGTCACAAACATATTAACAGTCGATATTAAATCAACGTGAACAACTTTAATCGCCACTACTAGTTTATTGATGACTGTAATATTTAAGATGGCGTAACAAAATAATTTTCACTAAATATTGATAGCACGCCGTCGATTATCTCTCAATAAACGTTTGTCAAATGATTGTTCGACACGCGACACCTTCTGGACACACGACGGTCGTTCAGTGTGAGGATATATAACAGAGAGGATAGTACTTATGTATTAAAACTAATTTAATTTGTAGTAAGTGATATCAAACGATCCAAGCGGTCAGGTCATCTAATTGAAAAAGTTTCGGATCGTCCGCGACCGTCGACACGCGGCTCTCCTTAATTGAATTACGTTTACGAAATTGTTTTGAAAGCTTTTTACGGCCGAGTTATTGATGAGACTCATTCATTGGAGTGTTTTGTATTATTTGGATAAATATTACGTTTATATCACCGTTATATACATTGGAAAATGTTTTAATTTGTTCATTATGTGCGTTTAAACTGTCTACGTAGCTTACTTTTTGTCACTTTTCCTTCTTATCCAAGTTTCCCGATCTTCTTAAGTCTTTGTACTGAATAGGAAACGAATAATAGAATATTAATCTAATAATTAAAATACGTATTATTTTGATATCATATTGTTAGCAACACATTATAAAGTATAGTTTTATATACGAGTATAAACAAATCTATCGCTAACAAAAATTGACATTATTTCTCACAACAATAAGCCTAAAAAAGTATTATTTTGTTATGTAAAACATATGAATTCAAATGATGTTATTAAGTAAGTAGAAGAAGATTGAGAGGACTGTGGATGATTACGAAATGAATTCATAGGGTTCTTTAAGGTATAGTTCTCTAATAGTAACACTAAACAAAATATATATACCACATGTATATTATTTAATTGCTAAAAACAAATAATCCAGGTCGTTATTTATATTAATTCTAATAAAACATAGCCATCAATTATTCCCTGAGTCCCGGCGCGGCGGTCCGAGCTCCCTCGACGCTGGCTGTCATGTTCAAGACGTTTCCAGCAATACTTATAATGGCCACTTACTTACTGTTGCCAGGCTTCAAGAGTTCTCTGTCCCTCCAACTGGAATATTATTCATTTATTTCAAGTTACTCTCGAAAATCCTGTTAAATGACTCATTAGGAAAAAAAAATAAAACAAAAATAATATTTAGGATAAACGAAACATAGCATCTTGTGATGAGAAATAAATTAATTAGAAGTGTTCTTAACTTTAATAATTATAAAGTATTACATTAAAACACTCACTTGTCTCAATCCTCATTCATCATCACCCACCTCCAGACACACTACAAACCTTATTTAACATATTAAAATAGTTCATAGTTGTTACTGTACAAGTGTACACGCGACCAGTAGCCGCGGAGCTGTCAATGGTTTGTAATAACTTAGATATAATAACACGGCTCTGTCAGCTGAGGCAAGTTTTCTACTCAACTAACTATGTCTCCTGATATGAAAAGTTCTTGATGTGAAAATTACAATACTCTCAGCAGTGATCGTGACCGGACTCAGAGTTATTAATATACACAATTAACGTGTCAGAGAGAAAGCTTTAATATTATTATAAACATAATATTCCAAGTACGTATAAAATATTTGTTATAAAGTTAACTATATATTATATAAAAGGTCCAGTATATCTTGAGTGGGAGCCAC